TCACTGCCTTGATTTAGTTCTTGCTGCCAAGTGTGTCATTTCTGACTATTTGGCATCCATTATCTGATCATCATTTAATTTCTTTTGCTCTTACCTATATCCCACCTCCTCATCATACGGCTCAACGCTATTTTTGCGATCTTCAGTCTATTAACTGTGACCTTCTCAGTCAGTCTTTGGATTCTTTCCTCTCTTCCCTCTGTTTTGGGGACTCCGCTGACTCAGCGATGTCTTTAACTCCACTCTTTCTTCAACTCTCGACAGCTTTGCCCCTGTATCTGTTTGCATGTCCTCCTATACGAACAGGCCTCAGCCCTGGCTTATTCCCACAGATAGGTTCCTCCAGTCTTGCTCTCAAATGGCCAAACATTTTTGGGAAAAGTCCAGGGAGTGGGCCAACTTTATTCATTATAAGTTCGTTCTTTTATCCTTCACACGCGCATTGTCCATGGCAAAACAGAACTACTTTAAATCATTGATCTGTGCCAATGAGAGGTTCCCACAGTGTTTGTTTTTCCTGCTTCAACACCTTGCTAAAACCTCCTTCTCCCCCTGTTTCTTCATTATTTTCCCCTACTGACTTTGCTAATTATTTTATCACTAAGATCACTACTATCAGATCTGAAATAGTTCCTTCTAACTTCCCCCATTAATCTTCTGGAACCTTAACTAATCAATTCTCTGTGTTTCCTCCTGTTTCTCTGGATGAACTTTCTACCCTGCTGCACTCTTTCAAACCTACAACTTGTTCTCTTGATTCAATTCCCCTTCATCTCCTAATTTCTATAGCCCCCTCCTTCCTTCCTTCCTTCACTTCTTTCTATCTTTAACCTCTCTCTTTCTACAGGCTCTTTTCCCTCTGACTTTAAACATGCTTTTGTTTCCCCTATCTTGAAAAAAATCTTCTCTTGATCCCTCTTCTTTTTCCAGCTATTGTCCAATCTCTCTTTTCCCTTTTCTTTCTAAGGTTTTGGAATGGGTCATTTATTCCTGCTGCATTCAGTTTCTGGAAGCCATCCTCGATCCCTTTCAGTCCAGTTTCCGCCCAGGCACTCCACTGAGACGGCCCTCACAAAGATCTCCAATGATCTTTTATGGACCAAGGCAAATGGTCTCTATTCTGTGCTCATCCTCCTTGATTTATATGAGGCATTGACACTGTGGTTCACTGTCTTCTAGTTGATATACTTTCTGACATTGGGTTCTCGAACTC